GTCAATATTTTTAATTATATTTTAATGTTAGTATTTTTTAACATAGTGTAAAAACTAATGTGTATTGCTGATCTTTGACTATAATAAAGATTTTACTTACTTACACAAAGATGTGCAAAACCTCAGGTTGGTTCACTCTAATGAATCCTGCACCAAACTTTATCAATTAAAAGTTGTTTGTATTGGGGGAGGGGGTTGTGAAGCAATACTATTTACATAATACATGTGGTATCTCCATCTTACATACATTGTAATACTTAAATAAGAGTCCTTTGGAATTGACTAACAAATATTAATCGTTTCTTTCTAGCACGAATCTAGAGAAACTTTATTGGGCTTCAACATGGTGAATTATCGAGCGTGTAAGAATTTATGGAAAGCTTGTGTAGAACATCATACTTTTTTCCGGTTGGACAGACCACTGCCACCTCAGAAGAACTTTTTTGCACATTATTTTACTTTAGGGTCAAAGTTTCGGTACTGGTAAGTTGCATCTATATTTCATGTGAGGATATAAGAATAATAAAATATTCAATAAGTTGAAAACTTACCGTAATGTTGCTGTTGAAATAGCGTATGTTTTATTTGGTAGTTGAAAGATGTGCAAAATCTTTTGATGGCCAAGTAGCACGACATTTTTGGGAGCATATATTATACACAGATAAGGTTGGGTGCAAGAGGAAGATTTAGAAGTTTTCTTTATTTATATTTTTGTTTTTTAAACTGATTTGTGTACTTTAGCTTACCCTGCAGTATTTATATTTCTATAATATAACAGGAAACCTCTCTTTCAGCAGGCTTTACCATATACATGACTCCTAGGTTACAAAAAGGACACTTCAGGAGCATTCCGTCCTCGGGGCACAGATTAGTCACCCACACTGCACCCAAGCACATTTCTGACTAATGAATTTTGTTTGAAAGCTGAGGTTGCTACATCACACTCCTGAAAAAGGACTAGTTTAGTCTGAACTAAATACATTGGTGACTTTTTTTCACTCTCAATTTGGCTGTAGTTTAAAATGAGGTGGAAAACTTATTGACTACTTTGTGTAGCCACACCAAGGAGAGAAATAGGTAGTACCAAGACTTGCTATAATTATCATGGGAATGAGACTATTAAAGCAGTGTTCAGGTCTCAGAATCTCCAAGTTAGAAATACCTGACTAAAAGTTATATTTGTAGTGATGATGTTCTCTGACACTTTTAAAGACTTAGCTAAATTCAGGACAGGTAGAGAGCCCTAAATGCAGTACAGTTAAAGTAATCATACAAATATGAAATATACATTAGAATTATTTGTAGGGTTGCAGAAAGGTGGTCTCATTGTTTATTGCTGGCAATACATTTATAAATTTTACTCTTCATTTTGGAATTCTTTTGTTTTCTTATTCCAGACAAGTAAAGTACTTCTTATTTTTCTTTACAATCTCAATATTACGCTTCCCTTTCAGTGGGAGAACAGAAGTCCAGTCTGTACAATATGGCAAAGAAAGGGCAAACAAGGACAGAGTGTTTGCCAGGTAAGCAATTAAGTGACTTACATGCAGTATGATAAACATATTCATATAGCCTCTTATTTAGATTTCTCCTTACTCTCAAAATTTATTAGGTATAACCAATCAATAATAACCCTGGATAGAAGTTCTCTTGACACATAAAATTTTAGACACACGGAAGAAGGAACAGGACTGGGTTGTTGCCATACTTCCCATTGAGACATGCCAACTGATCAAGACTCCATTGGCTTTCGGCATTGATGAGTAAGATCTGATGGAAATCTTGATCCACAAAAATTCAGAATGCCATTTATTCTTTACACATATTGAACCAATTTTCTCTGTTTGTTCAGTTAACTTCTTCTAGAATATCTCCTGCTACTATTCTCTTTAGGTCATAGACTTACCAGAAATTAATAGAGTTCAAAAGTGATATTGTGGACCATTTTTTCATTCTTTATCTAGATCCGTTTGGTCTAGTGTTCAGGTACCACACTAGAAACCAGGAGATAGTGAGCTCTAGTCCCACATTAGGCATAAAAACTGGCTGGGTGACCTTGAACCAGTCACTCTGTCTCAGCTCAAGCCATCTCACAGGGTGGTTGTTGTGTGGAAAATAAGAGGATGAAGATATATTGAGTCTGTTTGCTACCTTGAGTTATTTATAAAGTAATAAAGGCTGAATTTTTAAAAAAGAAATCTTTAAAATAACACATTGCCAAAAATTAGCAATATAATTTCTGAGTATTTTCCATCAATAGAGGCAATAACTGAAAACTGAATAAAAAGATAAAAAATCCCACCTCTTCAATCACAAAAAAAATATATGGAAGGACTGATTTGGACTTGCTTATTATTGGCCCCAGTTTCTCTAACTTGCAGTCCATGGACACTAAAAATTATACTGTACACCTTTATATTATAAAGCATTCCCCTATGGTTACCAGTAGTAAAAACAAAAGCAATTTCAGGTGAAAGGCAATAAAAAACAAAATTATAGTCATGTTATTGAAGATTACCATAGAGGAAAGTGAGCAAAAGGAGGAAAGCAACAGAGAGATAGAAGGAGAAAACCAGGCAGGAGGAATTGAGTGAAAAGTTTGAATGTCTCAAGATGAAGGAAGAATCAAATGGCGAGTGGATTCTCAGGGTCAGAGAGGAGTGTTCCTAGACCATGCAGAGCAGATGAAGAGAGAAGGAACCAGAACCAGTCTAAGGATTCCAAAAGCTAGTTGTCAGTGTTCCAAGTATGCAGAATTAAATCAGAGTCCAAGGCAAAACGATTCTTAAAGTTCCAATTTAATAAGTCAGACATCTTAGCACATCTGTGGAAGTTACCTAGGATTCCCACCCAGTTGAAAGTTCATGATCTTGTCCCCACACCCACAAATCCATCACATGGTCCAATCTTCTTCTTCCACACTGGCATCTCCACCCAGCTGGTTCTCGTCATATGCAAAGGTGTGGAGACAAAAGATGACCTTGGGCTTCTAGAAAAGAATGTCAGCAACACATTCCACAATTCTACTCCTTTCTATTCCCCCCTCCCAACTACTACACTAATGAAACAGCATAATGAAATAAGAGAGAGTGTGGCAGGCCAAAGATCCTAAAAGGGATATAACTGCAGGCCTGACACTAGTTGGTAATCATAATCCCTAGAAAGAACCACAATTGGGACCAGAAGTTCGGTTGCTAAGTAAGGTGGTCATTAAGTGAGACACATTCAATTTTACAACTTTTTGCCACTGTTGTTAAGTGAAGCACTGCAGTCATTAAGTGAATTGTATGGTCATTAATTGAATCCAGCTTTCCTCATTGACTTAAGAAAGTCAATGGTCAGAAACCATCTAGAAAGGTCTCAAATGACGATCCTGTGATCGCAGGACATTGCAACCTTCTAAATACACGATAGTTGCAAAGCACCCAAAGTTTTGTCATGTGACCACAACAGTCATGCGTACAAGGACTGGCTAGAAGTCCCTTTTTTCAATATTGTTGTAATTTCAAACAGTTAGTAAATGAATGGTTGTAAGTCAAGGATTACCCGTATGCTTACCCTGGAAATCCAGAAAAGGCTGTTGTGAATACAAAGAAAGAAAGTCTTTTTAAATGGATTTTCCAAAGGAAAAGATGTGTTGCAGATGCCAAAGACAAACTTTATGAAATGAAGGACTAGAAGCCAGAAGAGTGCATTATTGTATCTATTTTATGGAAGATGACAAAAACTATTGAGGGTTCAATAATGTTGTCTTGATTACACTAAAAGAGAGTGGAGCCTTTTTTTGTGCCCAGATCTTAACCTTTACAAAGTGAGCATTGTCAGCGTTGTCTTGTCAGTCATGTCGTTGTTGTCTTTGATTAATTATTAAATGTTTCTCAAGCACATAGATATTAGAAGAGGAAACTATATAAAGCTGTGGTAGTAGAAGATATACTGTTGTAATGAGGCAAATGTTTCTTTGAAATTTCCACAAAGAACAGGAAGTTTTGGTAACAGACATGAGTGGGTGGGACTGTGAGTTTCAAACATTTAATAATGCTCTAAATGCAGTTTTGACAGTTCAGTGTTTTTGCCTGGCTTATCAAGTTACTGAAGCAGTTTTCTGTTTGATCATTAAGGTGAGTTTTTCAAAGAGTTGCATCATTCCTAGAAAGAAAATACATACTCATTTAATCTGCAAAAAGTTGGTAATATTTTTATCCAGGCTGCTTTATATTTTTTCTTTTTCCTTATATTTTGGATGAGTACTTCAAGTTTTGCAGAAAACAGTGCTTATCCCTGTTGTCCTTAAAAGCAATTTAGAAATGGTTTAACTCATAGCAATATGGTAGTAGTTTTTTTTTTAAAAAAAAACACCTTTTGAAACAACCTTGTCTAGAAAATAATAACATTTGAGCTAGTAACATAGGGATACTAAGAATGAACATAAGCGTAAATAAATATAGTTGATATTATAATGATTGTGTTAGATAAATCTGTAAGATAAATCTCACACTTCATTTAAATCAGTTTCTATGAATCATTGAAAAATGTTTAATAATTTGTATCTTTCACAGCTACATTATGGCTAGATTTTTAAAAACTGATTATCATATTCAGCTATGGTCCAGCTAAATCAGTAAAAATTCTGAAATTTTATTCAGAGCTGGAGTTTTTAAATGCATAAATGTGTCACATATCTTTATTTTTTGTGTTGCGTGTGTTCACTACATCTGAAGCCCTGAAATTGCAGCACTGCTTGTAATTTTGAAATAGAATTCTTCTAAAAATCTGGATTTTTGTGTCCATGCTATTAATAATAATGTAAAGTTGAATCGACTTCTCCATTGCAAGTTGTTTAGTTTGAATGTAGCTGTAAATTATGCAAGTTATTGCAATGAGGGACTAATTTAGAGTTAAGAAAGAAAAGAAAGAAGCCGTTTCTTTCACAAACAGCTTTCCTCCCCCGCCCCTCCCATATGTGGCACTGTAGGTAATTCTCATCCCTTAGCTATACTGAATTACTGTAAAATTTGCTCTGTCTTTAGTTCTTCTTCTTGTTACATTTGGCTTTTTTTTTCTCTTGTAAATAGTCCCATAAGAATATATGTCTATCTTTGGAAGAAATGGTCAAATAACATGCACTGCATATCAGTACCTATAAAAAAGGCTAGTTTTATTTTATTTTTTTAATTTCAATTTCTAGTAGTTTCAGATACATCATTCTACGTAATTTTGTGTAAATTTGTTTTAGATCCCCAAGTAAACCTTTGGCTCGCAAATTGATAAGTGGGATGGACTGGGAGGTTGTCAGCAGAAATTCATTGTCTGATGACAGGTTAGAAACTCAAAGTTTACCATCCCGTTCTCCACCTGGAACCCCTAATCAGTAAGTAAAGTTGAATAATCCATTTACAACAAGTTACCTGTTTCTCATTTGATTAATAAAAGTAAATCATTGTAACATTATTTCTTGGTGTGCTAAAATAATATCATAGTGAAGCACACACATATAACTGAGGCAGGATTTTGCTAACAGCTCAATATATTAGTTTTTTTTAAGGGCTTGCATTTCCCAATTTCATTCTGGGAAAAGAAAACTTCCTACTGATAATAATTTTATTCAGTACCCTTTACTGTGAGATGTAAACAGCATGTTAACTTTAATAGGATAATATTCAGAATTATAATTAAACTTTGTCCCCTTTGAGCATTTTACAGTATAGCCATGGTTGAAAAAAAAAGAATCTTGATTTTGTTATAGCTAATTTCAGAATATTTTTCACATATAGTTGACAGATTTTATTTATGCAGGAAGTAAATATAAAGCGTCATTAAGGATGAGGGAAAATTGTCTTTAATATGTGTATAACACCTAATTTTAACTATATTTAAACCATCTTTGAACAAATTTTCTATGTGTTATATAGAGTAAGTTGTATAATATCTCTTGTATCTAGGTTTCATTGTAATTAATAGGTTTACTCCTAAGAAAGTGCATCTAGACATAGAATTTGATTGTATTTTGCATCATTCAAGTCAAGTTTGTTGAAATTAATTTAAAACCATAGTGTTTTGTCTTTAATAACTTAAGGTTTATCCCTTTCATTTCTTGGTTACATTGTGTCTTTCTTAAAAATTATATCACAGCATAATTTAGCACAATGTGGCTAATCTGGGTTTACTTTAGGTAATGTAGGTTTATCCCATCTAGCCTGCTGTGAGGAGCAGAAAATTGGAACCAGGAAAGTGAGATTTGTTTAAATAAGCAATAGATTTAAGATAACTAGGACTTAAATAAAACGGCAATCTGTGTTTGATTTAAATCAGGAACTGGGTGCTTTCACATTTTTTCAGTTATATAAGCCTATAATTTATCCAGGGCATTTATATAACTGAACTATAGTTTTAAAATATCTATCCAGGTTTCTCTTTCTATTCAAATGGAACTTCCAGTAATTTAGTTACATAAATAGTGAGTCTTACAGAATCAGTGCAGAAAACCATATTTCTGAACTCAGAACTCTGCACAAATACTATTATCTATCTATAAAGGTAATGCATTTTACTTCCTGTACAAGCTAAACCACAATCAGGGAGGTCCTCTTTATTCTTTGTGGCTGTTTTTCAGTTTCCTCTTTTTCTAGCAAGCTACATGAAAAGGAAGGAGACCAGTTTTTTTTTTTATTTAAATATATATCTTGCAAAAATCCTTCAGAAGGAAAAAAATATTTGTACTGGAGTAATGGCTGTAATATTAGGACACCATTTAGGATTCATGTTGGCTCCTTATCTATCGATGCATGCCACACATATATCATTTATATAGAGGTCAGTAAGTGTTACAGATAGCCTTCAGTACTGTGGTTACAAATGTCTTACTGGTTTCTAATATATTTCTTACAAACTTTGTTTTATTACTACTAATTGACTGCTTTTCACACCAATGGAGAGCAAGCATTTAGGAGTGCAAGCAGTAGCATTTATAGAAACTGATTTGATTATTTCTTAGAAATGCTGGTAAAACTATTTCAAAGCACAGAACTTACAAATATTTACTAATAGGTTAATGAATAACTGTTCTTTCCATGTTCAGTCGCAACTCTACATTTGCTCAAGAGGGAAACCGTTTACGGCCATCTTCAGTTGGACATTTAGTAGACCATGTAGTCCATACTTCACCCAGTGAGGTATTTGCAAATCATCGGTCGCCTTCTTCTACACAGGCCAATAGTATAATTCTAGAATCATCACCGTAAGTTTGAATTTTGTAATCCTGAAAGACATTTTGTACTGCTATAACATATAGTCTTTCCATATTTCTTCCACATAGCTATAAGGTTGGCAGATCTCATTTTTATATTTAATTGTAAGTAAAAACAAGAGTAGCATAAGGGATCTAATTTTGTATAGAATATAAATATATAGCATAATAATAGCAAATCTCATAAATGTATAAGGTAGCTTCATATAAGCAATCTAGCAACCATATCACACACACATTTGTGCAGTTGGAGATAATACTTATCTACCTTATAGTTCTGTAAATATTTTTAAACAGTGTAAGATAGCACGCTGAAATAGCCATATAAATATTAAATATGTGTTAAACAATTATTAGAAATGATTTCTCATGGTTCCCTTGAATAAAATGGGTCATGACTCAATATTAATGTGTTAGAATACCACAGATTTAATCTTTTAAGGAAGTTTTTGGAAAAATTAGAGGAATCCATATATATTGTACTAATACATTACTTGTGTTTAAGAAATATAATAACCTTGGATGATACAGTATCAGATTTGTGTGACATAGCACTTGGCTGAATAAGAAATTTTCATTTTTTTTATTTGATTATGCACATTGTTGAAGGAAACCATACAGAAACTATGTACTTGCACTCAAAGTATTCCACTTATATATCCATCATTTTAAACATTCAAAGGAAATTAATAGCTAACTGGGCAAATATAAAGTTAGGAAGTTTTTTTCTAGTTTATTCTTAATCCTCACACTTTATTATGGTAATACATTACAATGTATTACAATTGGAAGCCTAGTATTATATTACTCCAGTTTTGTGTATATGTTGTAAATTTTGTTTACTGTATCAATTTGAAAAAGAAAGAATTTAAACACGATAATATCCTGGATATGGATATTATTATGTTGTAATGGAAATGTTCCATAGCATTAAAATTGAGAACAGTTGCTAAGTAATGCATACTGGTTTGTAAAGTAGTAGCAATATATGAAATCATTTGTACCTTGCATTTCTATATGAGAATAGTGAACTCACAAGCCTGCTAATTTAAATGAGTCTGAAAACGAGTCAGTGACAGCCTTGGTTATTTTTACCTGAATATACTATTGTGGGAATTATATTGAAATTTTCAGTTTCGCAGTGTGAATTAATGAATTGTCATTAAGACTTTAGATACATGAATTTCTAAAATCTCGTGTAAACTATAGACAAATTACTGCACAGACTTGTCAAATTGCAAAATAATAATATATTATCAGGCCAACTTTGAACATTATCTTTTATAAGACACTTCATAAAGATTTCTACTAGTGCATTTGGATTTCAGTAACGGTGGATATAGGTGTGTTTGGGTCATCTGTCATACCTGGTTTATGGTGTAACCGTTTGTGCTTTTCCTTCCCCTTCCTCCTGAGCATATCTGGAAACACTGATCTGTCATTTAAACTGAGATTGCCGCAAACAGCATTAATATCCATCCCCCCCCCTTTTGGAAAATGCCAAACAGGGAACCCAAATGTTTTTCCTAATGAAAGGAAATCAGCCATTCTTTGTCATGCAAGCACATAAACTAGGTGTTTAAAATACCATTGGAAACCCTGTAGTAGAATATAAAGTATATATGCGGCCTAATAAAAAGTGGTAGAATTAAGCTTTTAGAACAAAATTCTTTCTCTAATATATATATATATATAATTCTATTAAAAAAGAATTATTTCTGTTGACCCTAATTTTAATTTTACATTTTTAATGTAAGAATATTAGTTAAAATAGTATGTTTTTTAAAGGGGGGAGGGCTTTCTACAAATAAGGGTATTATGCAGCCTTACAGCCATATGTCTGTAGATACTTAGTAAAAACTATCCTTTGCAAGAGAAAGGTATTACTATGTTCTGGGAAGCTCAGAAGTATAGACATAGATACCTGCACATAAACTGAAAGAAAAACATAAAAGGAAAAATCTATAACATATTAAGTGGGACTGAAAAACTGATCAGATTTGTATACTGAAATGAAGGGAAATAAAACAGTATGAAACCGCATGAGCACAAAATAACATTTTATTGCAAGGTCCTAATTTGCAATTGGAATCATGAATATAAACAATATGCAAAAATTAGTGCTTTCACTGAAAGGCTGGTCTAGATATTGAGAAATTATATGCAGAAATTACAGCTCTTGTATAAACTATAGCTACCTGATTTCTTCCCACTGCAATGCCTTACGACCTACATGAAGTCCTTCTTGGGTCTCTTGGCTTTTTCTAAAAAAATCTTCTCAAAGATATAGTGGGCTGCAGTGGGCAGAAGCAAATATGAAACCTACCTCCCCCCCTCCAGCTTCTAATCATGTTACATTTAGATACTGTCTTCTATTCTGTTGGTTATTATGTCGATTATGACTTGTAATATAATTCACACACCCATATTCTGGGTTGTCTTAGAGATGCATTCTTTTTAACATGTAAATAAGTTTTCAACATGTCTTTTTATTTTTTCATGTTATATGTAGGTCTCAAGAGACCCCTATAGATGGCCAACCACCTGCACTGCCACCTAAACAATCTAAAAAGAATAGTTGGAACCAAATTCATTATTCACATTCACAGATAGAATTGGATAACCATATAAATGAAACATATGATGATGATTCTTCCTCGTCTCCTGAAAAATCTACTGTAAGGGGGTTTTTCACACTTGTTTGATTGAAATATATTAAAACAGTACATATGGCTTATGTACATTGATTTCAATTATTGTAATTAATAAATCTGTTAAATGATATTCGTATGTTAATTTGCGTTAGCTACATATTGGAGAGACAGTTTGATATAATGGGTAAGGTATCAGGCTAGAAACCAGGAGAGTTTTAGTCTTGCCTTAGGCACAAAGCTAGCTGGGTGACCTTTGGCCAACCACTTTCTCTCAGCCCTAGGAAAGAGGCAATGGCAAATCACTTCTGGAAAACCCTTTGATTTTGTCCAGAAGGGGGAAAAAGCTATATATTTCTGTTTTGTTTTTTTTACACACCATTCTTTCCTAGCAATGGGATACTGTGATAACCAATTTCATTGTATTTATTTTGTACAATGACAATAAAGGCTATACTAAATAAACTATATCTGCAGACACTTATCTTACATCCCAAATACCGAATCCCTGTTTTTGAACATTCAGCTATGTCTGTCTGTCAGGAAAAGCTTCTCCTTCCTCTCTACATATCTAAAGTCTGTTTCAGAAAACTGAAAGACTATGAGAAGCAGAAGGACTCAACCTATGTTTGCTGGTTTATTTTCCAATGTAGCTCAGTATGTTTAAAATCAGATTACATATTTTCTTTCTATCTTCCCTATGCAATTTTGTGCTTGCATAATCATAACTCCATGAAAAACAATTGAGTTCCAATTATTAGAAGAAAAGAAAATAATCCGTTTAGAAATTATAGATCTTTTAAAAATTCAGCTGTGGCTCTTTAAAAGAAGTTGGCGTTAGTGTAAACAATACTTTGTTTGAGGGATCCTTGGTGCTCTCTGAGCTTGCTTGTTTTCTTATCGAGATTTCATTACCCAAATTACTTTGTTTTCATTTGCAGCCAAATGGTGGGATTCCTCATGACAATCTTGTTCTGATCAGAATAAGACCTGATGAAAATGGCAGATTTGGTTTCAATGTAAAGGTATTAAATTTTTTATTATATCTTTGGCTACTTTAATACTTTGAGGTTTTTTTTTCATTTTTTCATTATTTATGTTTCTCTCAAAGGGTGGATATGACCAGAAGATGCCTGTCATAGTGTCTAGGGTGGCTCCCGGAACACCTGTAAGTCTGATTAGAGAAAGTTTGCAATGATGTATATGCTTAACATGCAGTACTTTGTTTAATTTTTTATTTCTTTACAACTGTTTTCATAATAGCGAATTCTGATGCATTATTTTAACACTGGAAATGGAAACTTGGGATGTAAGAATTATAATTTACTTTATATATATATCTACTCAAAGGAGGTCTTTTAAAGTTCCTAGTTATTAGTTTTGGGTTTTTTAAAGTATTTTATTGTATTATAAGATGCAAGTAATACAATATATAATTGAGGTACAGTGGTATTTATGTAATAAAGATGGTGCTTGCTTAACTAATTGATGCTAATGATCTCACTGCTGCCATAGTTGTTAAACAAATCACCCACAACTCTTAAGTTAGACTGTGACTTGTGATTTTACTGCTGGTGTCTCCATTGACTACTTGTCAGAAGCCAACTGTAAAGCATTGAAATGGCAGTCAGGTGACTATGGGATGCTGTGACAGTCCATTGGTTGTGAAGTGCCAGAATCTCAATCTTGTGACTTCAGGGATGTTGTGAGAGGCATAAGGGCAAGGTCTGGTCATAGAGTTACCTTTTCAGCGCCATCATAATTTTGAACAGACACTTATTGGGGCAGTTATGAAGCAAGGACTGCTTATATTAACCAGAGATTATTACTACTGTGATGAGTTAGGAAACTTAAACATTTAAAGATTTTATATATATATATAAAAAAATCAAGTGTAGCACTAACGCCTGCAAAATGCATTAAATATAATGAAGGTTTCCATTTTAAGTAATCCTTAATATTATGGTCTTTGCTGTATTGTTACTAGAGGTTTATACATATTAAAAAATAAAAATAAAATGGAACATAAAAGAAGTTACTCATAAAAGTATATTGGTATTTTGGTTTATAATTTCCCCCTTCTTTTATACATTTATCAATTTGTAATATAAGTCAAGATGGTCCCTTGTTGTTTAATAACTGCTTGAAATTACAATGAGACCAGAATAAGTGTTTTATGACTAAAAAGCACTTCTGGATGTCATAAACTATTATTCCACACACACCTTCCCCACATTCACAAGAGCATATTTTGGGCACTTGGCATCAGTTCCCTTTTAGGATCAGGTTGTAGCATCCCATGGTCACATCACTGTGATTTCCGAAGTTTTTTTCCTCTTTCTGGCAAAAAAAAATACCTATTCAGAAAGAGGAGTTCTCATTTACTACCATGGCATTTGCTTAATGACCATAGATTCACTTAAGGATCATGATGGCTCACATAATGATAGCAGTAAAAATATAAAATCTGGTCATGTTGCTTTGATTTACTACCATAATAACGTAACTACTACTAGAAATCTGATACCAATTGCATTTGTAAGTCAAGGACCACATTTGTAGATTCAGTAGAACCTCTGGTCACGAACGCTTCTGACCACGACCAAATCAAGTTCCCACCAAAAAATTCACAATTTTTTTTCGCAGCCCATTTCCCTTTCTGCACCAATTTTTTTGTAAGTGCCAAATTTCAAAAATTAGGTCCGGGTCACGACCAAATTGGGTTACAACCAAAGTTACGGAATGAATTATGGTCGGGACAGAAGGTCTACTGTATTTAGGTCCCCTCAGATGCCATACTGTAAAGTATTTATACTCACCGTGCTCCAGCTCTATAATTTCCCAGCTCTATAAGATCTTATGTAATGCTTAATCAATGTGTTCAAAACACAGTGGATAAAGTGAATATTGGGTAAGGATGCAACATTAAGAATGGTATAGAAGGTGTAGAGAAAATGTTTTTTCTCTCTCAATATTTGAGTGTATTCCAATAAAACTGAATTCAGGGAACTTTAAACAGATAAAGAAAAATAAGTACTTTTCATGTTTTAAAATGTGATGATCCCCACTTATTTAGATTCTTTTAAGATGACATTACACAAATTGATGGAAGTCAGGATAGTCAGAGACTGCTAACCTTAACATTTGCCTTAAAGATCGGGCAGGGATAGATAAAGGATTATCTTTATTGTAGTTCAGTTAAAATCTCTATTGCATTAAATAGATTATTCTGTGCTTTGCTAGTGAACAGTCAAAATTTCTGTTTGTGATATGTGAATAATAGGTTAAATAATTACATCAGAGAATTCAGAAAAGTTACTGTACAATTTTCTTTTTTTATTGTTTTATTGTTTAAATGTATTTGCTACCTATCTTGTCATGGGATTACTCTTAAGTGGGTTACTATAATAAAAAGAAAGAAAATGAAAGTGTAAACAGGACAGAAATAAAATAATAGTACAATAAAATAAACAATGAAAAAGCAACACAACTAGAATATATCAATATGATAACCCAAAAATAGATGGGTGGGAAAGCAGGTAGCGAGGGTTTACTATCAGTCTAGTGTGGTACTCCTCCTTTGGTCCCCAGGTCAACCAGCAGAGCCAGGTTTTCAGATTCTTGTGGAAGGATAGAATGGTGAGAGCAGACTTTACAGGGTAGGATATTCCAAAGTGCGGGCTCTATGGCAGAGAAGGCTCGTCTGGATCCCAATATTTGGAGTTCTTTGATCAATAGGACCCAAAGTAGGCCCTCTGTGCTGGCATGAGTAGGATGGACTTGTCCTAATAGGACAAGGCAGTTCATCAGATAGAATGGACCTATCTTTTTATCCATCTCATTCACCTAGCTTTTCTTATTCCAGTGTCCAACTTTATTCTTAAACAGAAAAAAAATATTTAAGAACTTATTAGGACAATCTAAAGAAGTGTCAGAAACTTTTTTCTGAAAAGGCAATATATAAATATAAAAAGTAAATAATGAACAAGTAAGCAATATTTTTGTGTCTGTTCTTTTGATATGACATAAACTGATTATTTAACGGTTGTATTTAGATGTGTAACTCTGAAGTACATAACTTAATATTATGATACTGAGTGTACTCTTCTGCTTTTCCGCTTCAAACACAGCCATGAGGGAAATATTAAAAGCTTCTGTTATTGAATAAGTGTAGCTCAATCTGTTTTTGATAAATTATGGTTAGTGAAGAAAAGTCCATTTCAAAAAGTATTATTTGATGCTTTTACTTTTCACATGCTGCTACAAATCTGCAATTGATAAAAAAAAGTGAAAGCTTCCAAAATCTTTCTCACAACTACTCCAGTGGGAAAAGTATATTAAACAAGTATGGACATTTGTACACTGGACTGTGATTTAGTATTATATCTAATTTTTCAGTATCTCCATTTTGTGTTTTTCATCAGTTAATTTAAAAAGAAAAGACACTTCTCATATCCGCTAGAATAAAACTTTGTTTCGTGTCGCAGGCAGATGTTTGTGTCCCTCGTTTGAATGAAGGTGACCAGGTTGTATTGATTAATGGCAGGGATATATCAGAACACACCCACGATCAAGTTGTTATGTTTATTAAAGCTAGCTGTGAGCGGCATTCAGGGGAACTTCTACTCCTTGTTCGACCAAATGGTGAGTAATTTTACCTGTACAAAACATGCTTCTTTTTTCCCTGTTACACTATGCTTTTATTAGAACATTTGTTCTTATATACCCATAGTTTTAATGTAATGTAAATTATCACCTGGGTTTCTGTATAAAAAAGAAAAATAGCCAAGTCAGTGTTTGCCCTCTAATAGGGTACACAATGTTTACATAGTTATGTGAACATTATATTTGTCCTAATCTGCTCAAATGTTGAGACTGTTGAACATTCTAGATATGACAAATTAATTCAACCTACACAATATAAGAAGGAATGTACTTTCATCTTTATGCTTTATTAGTATGGTGTAGTGGCTCAATGGTTAAGATGCTAGGCTTGCCGGCTAGAAAGCCAGCAGCCAGGTTCGAGACCCAAATGCCACGTGACAGGGTGAGCTCCTGTCCTTGCCCCAGCTGCTGCCAATCTAGCCGTTTGAAAGCATGCAAATGCAAGTAGATAAATAGGTACCACTTCATATTCAAATGTAGATAAATAGGTACCACTTTATTGAGAAGGTAACAGTGTCCATTATGTCATGGTATCCACATGACCACGTAAATTTATTCGGAGACTCAGTGGCCCTGAAATTGAGATGAGCACACACACACACACACATCCTATAGTCAGCAACAACTAGGGGAGTAAAATCCACATGGACTCCTTGTTTTATTCCTTATTACTTTGGAATAATTGTTTAGTTTAAAAATACCACTTAGAATCTTTATTTAGTTCTATATACTGCATACATTTTTAATTTTTTTTTATTATAATAGTAAAATCATACACAAACTAAACTTAGAGAGATAATTTTACATCTGTAAAGATAACGTTTCCAGCTTATTCATTAATAATAATATGCATATATCTAATGTATCTTTTCATGTTATTTTTTCTCCTAAAAAATCCAGAAATATTTGTCTTTCCACTAAAGAAGAAATTCACTTCCCTGGAGCATTTTGCTACAATTTTGTATTCTCTTCATGTGTTATTAACTGAAATGAGTAGCTAGAAATTATAAATATTTTGAATGCATGTTTTCTAACAGTTATTTCTATTATTTCATTCAAATTTTATTATCCTTTGAGAACTCCCTTTCTTGTCTATTTCCTGCTTCTGATCTTTTCATAACCGTTTCTTTTATTATTTGTACCAATATATTGTTGCTCATCTTATTGTTTTTAATGGAAGTTACAGAGCTTTGTGCTTTCATCATTTTGGCAAAATGTACACTTTTTTTTTTTTTTAAAGCTTCCTTTACTTTTATAGCTGCTTTAGCTCTGGGCAGTTAGTGTTCCAAAATTAAGAATGCTGTCTTACATTCATTTCTTTGGATGCAAGCCTCATTGAACCTAATGTGACTTATAGTCTGAACCAGTGCATTCTACGTTTAAGTAGCTCATTTTTAACTTTTTCTCTAAGCCAGATGAATATAACATTTTCTTAATGAACTTTTGTATAAACCATTGTGGCATCTTGTTGGCTGAGTATGAGATACTTAATTCTGGTTTATTGCTCAGTGTCAATATAGGAACATTTAGTAGAAAAATATAACTAGAAATAAAACTAGGTAAGCAGGTTGAAATTGCTGAATTAGGTCAACAAACAAGAGTGTATAATTTTAATCCATTATTTGTGTAGGTGTTTTGAATTCAATTTTCTATATCGTGGCTATTAGAAAGAAACTTGATTATGTATTCTATTTTAACTTGCCAAACTGTGCTAAAAGCAACATTAGTTTAAATGAAAACATTTCAAATTAAAAAGCAAAAAACCATAATTTCCTCCTCCACATTTTTTTTTCAGTTTTGTTTTTGTTCTAACCAGTATTAATAAAATATGCTTGTTTTCCACAAATACTGTCTGCCACATAAATGTCAAATGCATGCTGTTTCAGACAGGAAACATATGGAGCATAATTGTTAAATGATAATAACATGACATCTAGTAAAAATGACATTCTTTCTTTTTGCCTGCTCAAATCTTGGGTGGGAGATGCTTCTCTACTGTATGATTCCCAGATCTACTGTAAAGGGTTAAAAGAATCCTCTGAAACAGATTTCAAGACTCTAAGGATAGAGAGAGAATAATTACCTGAAATACTTGCACTTCTACTGGACTATGCCATAATTCCTTCTGGGATGACTTATTCTGAATTTCAGAAGTTAGTCTGAGCAAGCCCCGAGTCATCTGGATTTCATAGTTGGCAAGCCTGCAAGGAGGCTCTCAAAGACTCCAGAGTCCTGTATTCTTCACAAGCAGATCCTGAGACATCCAGCGATGTCTATTTTTTCTAGCTGAGGATGAAGACTGAGTCTAGATACAGGATAATGGCATCTGGCTAAATGATGTAGATCATTTTGTTAGTCAAAAGTTTATATCTTGTTAGCTTTATTATTGCTTTGCAGAGAAGTTTGAAGAAATAACTGAAGGCTCCATGATGATAGTGGTGACTCATGAGTAAACCCTAATATGGACTCTCTTGATGTGAGGAAGGGCTGGAAAAGATGCCATGTTCCTTAGTATCAGGATACTTGATTGCAGATCAAAATCAAGGCCCACTTAAAGGTAGATAGGTTGTAGATGCTGACCCTATTTGGAGCATTTTTCAAGTTTTGCAAGGATAGTAAAAATTTCAAGAATAATATGCAAATGTGTTTGTTGGCATCTCGCCTTTATTATTTTTACAAATAACTCAAAACAGGGAACAATATCCAATACACCTTTCTCCTCTATTTTCCCCATAACAGTAATCCTGTGAGGTAAGTTGGGCTGAGAGACAGTGACCCAGCTGGTTTTCATGGCTAAAATGGGACTTGAACTTACAGACTCCTGCTTTCTAGCTTAGTGCTCATCAGTCACTGTCTCCCAGTTTAGAGTCTAAAATGGAATACCCAAAGAAGGGGAAATGGAGAAGGAAGGTGGAAAAAGAGCTCAAGCACCAGTTCTTATCTGAACAGTTTAGACAAAAAGTTCAGCAGTATGCTGCCAGCTGGCTATCAGATGGAGAGAGCCAAAGGCAGTGAGTTTCTCATGTAAAGTATTAAAATAGCACTACTTCTGTTCTCTCATGTTATTTTGAAGCTCATGTTTCTAGGTTCCTCTACCGATATATGCTAATAGTCATCTGCAGTAGAATTCTGTATACAAAAAGGTGCCACTTAAATCCAAACAAAAATTAATCAGTATCCTCACACCTAGTTTTATTCACAATATTTAGATATTTTATACCATGCTGTAATGTCGCATTTTCAACAAAAGCATTGCCTAAATATATTTGTTTCCAAGCAGTACAACTTGACTCCTTGTCTTAATAATTCTGCTACTTTTGGTTTATTATAGCTGTTTACGAAGTAGTAGAAGAAAAGCTAGAAAGTGAGCCAGATTTCCAGTACATACCTGACAAGTCCCCACTTGATGGAATTCACCAGGATGACAATGCTCTGAGAGAATCAATGTTTCAACTAGCGGAAGGGCTTATCACTGGAACAGTCCTGGCTCAATTTGATGTAAGTAATTTATTTGTAGATATTATATTTGTCTGTGTACCTTCTATTTGAGAATTTTGGATTTTTAAAAAGCCACAGGTTCAATTTAGGGTAAGGAATATTTGGCAAACAATTTGCATTGCTTCATTGAAATTATTTTCTTAGATTAAAAAAAAACAGGATAGCATAATTATCCAATAATCTAAGTCCTCACATTAAAGGAAATTTTTTTAATATAAATGTACATTTCTCCGAATGTTCCCTAGCTAGAATTGTATACATTCCCAATTGAATAAAATAAGAATATTATTATTCAGTGAGAACAGAGTTACTTTAAAGCTATATAAATATATGTATCCATTACAAAGCATATTGAAATGTAGATCTGCAAATGTAGATCACATATTACCTTGGTGTAATCTAAACTGCATGCTTTAAGGCAGAGGAAGATACTTTATTTTTTCAGGACTGCACTTTCAGTTTTATTCATTTGTTTGTTCTTTAATATCTGATATTGCAAAAAGGCCACATTTGTTCAGATGAATGGGAGGGAACAGCGAGAAATGCTACAATAGTGGCCTATCTTGTGTGGGAGGACCTTACAATGTTTCATGCCATTATCACCATCCATCTGGACTATTGTAACATATTGTACTTTGAGCTGTTTTTTAAAACCACTCAGAAGGTGCAAATAGTCCAGAACATAGCAGCCCATGAATTCACTAACATGAGGCTGTGCTGTGGACCAGTAAACTTCTGAGTGAAACTTAAAATGTTAGTTTTAATTTATAAAGCCTTTTAAGGCTTAGCCATCAGGGTATGTTTAGGACCCTGTGATTTCCCAACTTGAATCAGCCCAAACTATATGATTATTTCAGAAGAAGTAGCTGGTGGATTCCCACTCAGGAAGTGAAAGAGACAGAGGTCAGGAGGTGTTGCTTCTCAGTGACAGCGCTGGCTTTTTGAAAGGTCTCCTGGCTGAAATTAGGTTGGCCTCATTCCTAATTGCCACCCACAGAGAACTTAAAACAGATATTCCTATAGCGTTCAGGGACTGATGCCATTTTTAATTTTTGTATTTTTCAAAATATAACCATTAGTGTTTTTATTACATACAATTAAAGGTCTTTAATTTGCAGAGCAAATTAAATGTAATAAACAAAGATAGATAGAAAGATAAAATTCTACTTTATAATATATAGGAAAGCAGGAACATATTGTGAATTGTTATGTTACTTGCACATACTATCTCATTACTGATATTCTGTTTTTGTTATCTAATTATTTGTTGCTATTTAGCAACTTTATAGGAAGAAGCCTGGGATGACAATGTCTTGTGCCAAATTACCTCAAAATATTTCCAAAAATAGATACAGAGACATTTCGCCTTGTAAGTACTTTTTTATGTATGAGTAAACATATTACCTTTAGTTGTCACTTGGAAAATAAAATGTTTATCTTTATTTCAGATGATGCTACACGGGTCATTTTAAACAGTAATGATGATTACATCAATGCAAATTATATAAATGTGAGTTGACATTTATATTTTTTTCTTTATTCCTTCTGTTTTCAAGGTAAAATAGCTTAACATTTTAGATGTAAAAACTATAAAAAATAGTTATTTGATTTATTTCAATAAGTTACACAGTGGTCATAGATGCAGAAACTCTTGCACATATTTTAATATATTTTCTAGCCTTCTCTTGAAATTAAGTTTGATCTAATAAAGAGCATGTAAAGTTTTGACATTTCTAAATGTTTTTTTGCAAATTTCTTTATTTTTAGATGGAAATTCCTTCTTCTAGTATAATCAATAAATACATTGCCTGTCAAGGTCCTTTGCCCAACACTTGCCCAGATTTTTGGCAGATGACCTGGGAACAAAGCTCCTCGATGGTTGTTATGTTAACCACTCAAGTGGAAAGGGGCAGAGTAAGTCCTCAATTGTAACTTTTACAACTAATAGATGCCAAGAGGCTGGCTTTTATTTGGATATTTGTTCTTTCTAAACTGTGTCATTATTTGAGATTGAACTATTGCTTGATTAAATATTAAATATTGATATCAGTCATTTTTAATAATTTTCGCAACATAGATCACATTTTATAATAATGCTATGATGGTATGCCATAGCCCTACATTAAAGTGTGTGTGTGTGTGTGTGTGTGTGTGAGAGAGAGAGAGAGAG